GAAGTTTGTTTCTTTTGAACTCAAAGTATTTATCTGTATTTACCACATGCTGTTCTGAGAATCAAGTGCTCTAACTTCATTATCTCTAGTGATTTTTTTTTTGTTTTTTTCTGTGTATCCATTGTTTCTTTATGAGTTACCAAATAATTAATAGCACTTGATTGAAGAATACTGGTTAGATTTATTCTTTAAGCAGGAAAAATTATCTGGAAAGAATTTGAAATAGTATTATATTTATATTCAGCTACTGTATTCAAAGAGACATCTATTAAAAGTTTTAAAACACTTCTTGAATTTTTTTGAACAATAAATTGCTTTTCTAGCTTTTGATTTTACCTCAGTGGTAAAACATTTGTACTGGTGTGTGGAACCAGTTCTTTCACTTACAATGGGGCTCCATTCTTACAAGCCCCATCACAATTTGCAAATACTGTTATGTTAAACAGTGCCTAACCTACTTCATCTCCATAGCTTTGTAACACAGAAAGCTGCAGCTTAACCTTGAGATGGGTGTGGAAGGCTGAGAACTGTGGCTTGCTGTCACTGGTCAGCACTGAATGTATCCTATAGTATAATGCCAGCCCCAGAAAAGATCAAATTTCAGATTTGGAAGTATAGTGTCTTAGTTACTTTTCTTAGGTCTAAAATACCAGACACTGAAGGTTAAAGGAAGAAAAGAATTTAGAGGTTTCAGTTTATAGTTGGCTGGCTCTAAGACACAGTGCATGGCAGAGAAATGTTGCAGAGAAGAAACAGTTCATGGTGGGCAGAAGACTAGAAAGCAGTGAAGTAACAAGCAACAAGTGATGGCAGCAGCCCTCTTTCTGCCTCTTATACTCTGTATGCCCTTAGATGTAGCATTCATACCCAGGGAGGGCTTTCCCATTACCCACACCCAGACCGAAGCCAAGTGAATCAGTGGACTAATTTAGTCACTATACATCCTTATTCCCAGCATCACACACTGAATCCTGGCTTCACACACTCTAGATCACACCTCCAAAAAGCTCTACCTGTGACTGAATGAAGTTTGAGGGCAAGGGGGACTTAGACACAAGCCATAGCATACAGTTTTCACTGAATGCATAAATGTTAGTCTACTGTTGTAAAGTTGGAAAATCATAAGTTAATCATAAGTCAGAAAGTACTAGATATCCTTTGGCTTTTTTTCTTATTTTTTAACTTTACAGATATAAACTCTGATTTCCTTAGTGCTACTCTCAGAATTTTTTCTTCTTGGTTTCATTCCTTTGTCCTAATTTAACACTCATTTTCGTCACAAAATCACAGGAAAGTTAAAATGTATTGAGCCTTTTTACTTCAGTGTCAAGTAGAAAGTTAGTGTTTGCTTACTAAGGTCATGTATGAGGTGATTGAGGTAACAATGAAATAAGTGAGGAGTAGCATTCTAACATACAGAATGGTAAGTGAAAAAGACAGATATGAGAGACATTTATATTCATGGTGTTGAATGGAGTAAAAAGTATTGAGGTTAGAAGTACTCACATTTTGGGAACAGTAACCTACTAAAGAGAGAACGATACAGAGGACTAGCACAAAAATAGAAAGATTGTGGAGTCTGAAATACGTTATAGACGTGGTCCTGAGCCTATGGCATTATCAGGAAGTGGCAGAGTCTTGGAGAGGTAGGACTTGGTTGGAGAATTTGGGTTGTTGGAGCACGTCCTTGAAGGAGATACTGGGACTGCATGTCTTTCTTTACTGCCATGTGCTGTATTGTTACCTCGGTTACATGCCTTCTTCTTCTTTGTTTACTGTGTTACTACAGGCCCCAAACAGTGGGCAACGATCCTGACTGGAACCTCCAGAATTGTGAGCCAAGATAATCCTTTGGTCCTTATAATTTATCTGTCCAGTGATGGACAGATAATACAGACATAAAAATCAAACACCAAAATATTTAGAAAATCTCATTATATGTCACTAAAATCCTATAGTAGATGACAAGAGTGAGACAGTTGGTTTCATTTTAGTGTTTGTGGACCACTGAAAACTGGATAAGTTTAAGCACAGTGCAATTGTTGGGGAAAAAAAAAACAAAACCCAGAGTTTAGTGGAGTGAAACGAACTACTTAAATAATTGTTCCAGATTCTTTAATTCTGCTGAGTGGTTTTTTGCTTGTCTGTTAGGAAATTAGTCTAACCACTCAAGACAACATGAATGAGAACCTATAATAAGTGTGTTAATAACTTAAGTGTCTCTGAAATTTGGAAACGGAACTAATAGACACATAACCAGTGGTGTGTTAGTAAACGGATGTGTTGCATTTGCTGATGTCATTCATAAGGGTTCATTTTGTACCATCAACACAAAGTGAACACAGAGTTTGGAAGAGGTGGATGCAGTCCACTCTTAAGCTGATAAGAAATGATGAGACATACAGTGGCACATCTTGAAATATCCCTAGTCTCATGTTTTGGCCTGATTTGAAAAAGAATTTGAGGTAGCTTAATGAAGTAAACACTTAATAAAATAGGATTAAATAAATGGATGGTTTTCTGTAAAAAGGATTAAGAATAGAAAAACAAATTGAGAATAAAGTTAATAATACATGAAACAAATGCCTGTCACACTTCTGCACAGCTGGAATACATGAACTAAGAGTTTGGCCATATCAAACAGAAAGGAACAGCAGTGTTCATCAGCATCAGTGCAAATCAGCTGCTCAGGAGAAGCAAAAACTTGTCCAGTGCCAGATGAAAGAACATTGTATCCACAACAAAATTTCTGCAAAAGTAGGATGGCAATATTTGCATTATATTTGACACCTGTCTCTAGGGAAGTCGCTTTACAATACCAAAAGAATTCAGAAAACAAAATTTTTTTCTGGAAAAAACAGTAGATTGGCAATTTGGGATAGACAATAAAAAAACTTGGATGAAATATTTTGACATTTGATCTCATTAAGAAATATTAGGGTACCATGACTAATAATGTTTAGGCCTTTTCACCTTCTTTGGTATTGGAGATTGAAACTAAGGCCTGTGTAACCAGCTACATTCCAGCCTTTCTTATTTTGTCATTTTGAGACAAGGTCTCAGTAATTCTCCAAGCAAGATTCAAACTTGGGATTTTCCTGAGTGCTGGGTTGATAGAGGTGCACCCTCATGTCCAGAGGCAGTTTGTTGAGACCAATCAAAACGTGTATTTGAAAACTTTCCCAGTGTTCTTTTTGATTTCTAGTAGATTCATCCCTCTTTTTTCTCTTTCTCCTTCTATCCCTCCTTTTTATTTTTTTAGGCTAGTTTCTGCTACGATGCCCAGGCTGACCTTGAACTTGCAGTTCATTTGCTTCTGCCCCTGAGTAGGTTGGGATTACAGGTGTATGTCACTGCACCCTGCCTTGTTTCAAGTTTGACTCAGACTGGGTGTGGATGTGGGTGTTTCCTTATCAGTTCTTCGAATGCAAACTTTATAGAGGCTATTATACTAGGTATATACAGTGATGAACAAAATATGCTTTGTCCTTTGTTCTTTTCTCATTTCTTTTATGTCCATGCCATCCTTAACTGACCTTTGTAGGAAGTTTGCAGATTTTCCGTTAACTCTCTAATGTTTTGATAATTGTAACTCTGAAATAAACAGAAGGCAAATAAACAAGAGAAAAGACATCATAATTTATTGCTGGGCCTGGTGGGGCACTTCTATAATCTCATCTCTTGGGAGTTTGAGGGAGGAGAATTGTAAGTTTGAGACCAGCCTGGGCTACAAGTCGAACCCAAGGCCAGCTTGAACTGCATAGGGAGACCTTGTCTTAAAAAGATCTCAAAAAAAAAAAAAAAAAAAAAAACTGAGTGAGTGTGTATTTTACATTTGTCCACATGGGAGTTTCACAGAATATGAGGCTCACAGAAGGGCCAAAGGATTGGATTTTATGTTGCATTGGAATAGAAGCTGGAGCCTCTGGCACAGAGGCGTCAGTCATCTGTGGGAGGGTGATGGAAGTATTCATAGCAAATAAATGATTTTCTTGTTATGTAAGCAAAGCCTCTTGTAATCTCAGTTGCTCTTGTAAGAGTAGCTGATAAGCTGTAACAGTGTCTGTCTGGTGGGGATGCCGAATCTCTAGTTGCTTTTCTTGTGATATGGTCTTTGGTGAATCCATTTTCAAGCACAGTAAGGTGACTTCAAAGAATGCCTCTTGTTGGAGGCATTTATTAATATAGATAGACGTTTGCCTTTTATTAATATAGATAAACATGAATTTCTTTTTACAAAAGCACACTTTGCAGAATTGTTTCTCTATTTGTTGTTTCTCTGAATAGTCATCTCAGTAAATGAAAGAAGTATACATACTTTTGGGTGCGGTATTTGGTCTTTTGCACATCAAGCAGAAATTTCTCCTATTCTGTTGTGATTCACCTTCATTGCTGTTTGCTTGGGTAGCCTGTTGCCATGCAGGGACACTGGAGATGAACAGAATGAATAAATCAGAGTCCAAGATTGCAAGAATGCTGAGAGACCAGAGTGACTGCTCCAAAGAATAAAAAGCAGCCCCATAACTAGGCCACCTCAGCTTTTATCCAGAATACCAGAAAGTGAGAAGAAAAAGACATTAAAATGATCACTCAAGGGACTTTGGGCACGGGGATGTGACAAATTAGAGGCATTCATCAGAATGAGATAGAAGAGCACTGAAGTCTGATTCTGCTTAACTAAACTGATCAAGTTAACTGATATTTCCATCCTGTACTGTTTTGAGCACATGCATTCTTTCTGCTCTGTCACCCTAAGTGGAACTGCTCTCCACGTCCGGCATGTGTGTTTCCCTTGCGTAGCAGGGTGCTGTAGAGAAGCGCAGCAGAAGCAGCTTGGGGTCTTAGGAAAGCTGCCCAGTTAGCAGTGCGCCCACAGAGCTCAGTTTACAGGTCACCAACAAGTGCTCAGAAATCCCTCTTCATTGCTTCAGGGTTTTTACCTCACTTGTGCTGGGCACAGAGGTCCTGCTGTTAATTCCTCCCTGCCCACCTTTCCCTAGAGCCTGCGCGTGCCAGTGCCTCCTACAAACGGCAGGATGAAGGAAAGCCAGAAAGAGGTGAGTTTTGAGTTAGATTTTGATTTGGGATTTTTGAAGGGGTGGGAGGCTTGAATTGGTAAGAGGGCACAGAAGTGGGAAAATTACGTAGCTATTCCATTAGTCTGTTGCCAAGAGAGTTGGGTAAGCAGTACAGCAATAGATGCAGGTACTACGATTTGGATTTTGTTATCTGGGCTAACCTAACCATTCATGGTCAGGAATAGTCATTCTACAGGAGGCTGAGATCTATAGGAAAAAATAGATGCTAAGCAGATAGCATCAAGGAATTTGTAATCCTTTTTCTGAACTGTTTCTACTGCCACCTTTATCATTTTTTTCTTGGTCATTTGCTTCTCGCCTAGACTGCCCATTCATACAGGTATAATTGAATGTATAATAAATTGCTTGCCCTGCCTTTCTCTGTTCTTTACTTTTGCACACTGAGATTTGTTGATAACCTGCTCAGATAAGCCTTTGAGTACGTGAAATGAGGTCCTGAGATTACATTTGGGGAACACGCATAGCATAGCTGTTGAACTGATGTCTTGTTAGTAAAAATGAAGCAAGAGATTAATAGCTACAGTACTTGGGACAGAATTCCTCCCAAATGTCTAGCAGATGTAAGCTAAAATTGAACCTGCAGTTATATCTGTAGTTATCATAGTCTGCTGTGCTGATTAGTCCAGCACTTTGTCTTCCTTTAGGGACTAAAGTGATCAAGTTAACTGATGTTGTTATCGTATTCTGTTTTGAGCATGTACATTAGTATTTAAGTAGGATGAGGAGGCAATCATTGCATCCTAATAGTAGAAAAATAGGGTTTATCTTTTTATTTCATTTTAAGTGCTTATACTTGACTTGAAGGTTATGACTTGAAATTGAATGAACTGTTACTTGTTCATCTAGGTACTTTGATTGTCATGTGACTATGGTTGTCACAATACAATGTTGAATTTGCCATGTGCAATGGAAATGCAATTAGAAATGACTAAATTGTTTTGGCCTTTTAGGGATGTACTGATGGTTCTAATCACATTTCTTTTGCTTTTTAAAATCTACAGGAAGCTTTAAACTGCTTGATGTAAAAGCCTCTTGTAGTTCTAGGATTTTGGTACCATAAAATTTTAGGTTATGTCTTTGACCCAGCCTCTAGCAGGGATTTGTTTGAGGCTGGATGATTCATGGTGGAGGGATATCCCCCATAACAGAGATGTTTAACAGCATCCCCGGCCAATGACTCTCTCACTTGTAACCATTGTAGTTAGCATCACACATGGTCCAGTGTTTGTGGCTGGGAGGAATGAAGCTCCCTGCTTGAGAGTCACTGATGCAGAGAAAGCTTTTCAGTCTTCAGGACCTAAGAGATATTACTCACCAGTGCACTGGGTGGCTGGAAACCTTTTAGTCTTTAGGTGCTTGCTTAGCTATCTTGGCTAAGACAAGGAAGAGCTGACTGAAGCTGGCTTTGCTTCAGTTTCAAGGTGTTTGTCTCTGCTTTTGCTCTTGACTGCTGTCCAGCCTTAACCCACTCTCTGGTCTTGACTGGCATCTGTATGACTTGAAACTTGCCACTTTCTGTTCTGTTTCTGTCTCTCTCTAGTTTTCCGACAATCATTTAATGAAGTGTTTTTCTCTCAGTAACAGGCTCAGCATTACTAATTTTTAAGATTCTATTAAGCTAAAGCTATTTCTTAAATATGGTATGTATACATAGTTATATATATACATGGGCATAGTAGTGCATGCTTGGGAGGCTGAGCCAGGAGGATCACCCTGAGTTCAAGGCCAGCCTGAACTGTGTAGTGAGACCTTGTCTCACACAAAAACAAAAAATGTATACATTTAGCACATGCAAGTAATCTTTTAAGATGAAGGTTGGTAACTATTTCAGTGATTTATTTTAAACAAATTAACAAGTAGTTGGAGACTCATTCATGATGGGCACTGGACTAATGCTCTAACTGTAGTCTTTTTACTTTTTTTTTCAATTGTATAAGCATTTCAGGAATATGTGCTAAGTGTCCTATATACAGTTCTCCTTGAGCTGTCTCTTAGTTAGCTCTGTTTATAAACAGCACAGTTAACTGAAATATCTAGGCATGTGTTCATATTGTGAGATACTGAAACTGGCGTTTAGCAGTAGAGAAGATGGCGCATTTATATTCAGACGTGTCTCCTTTCCCAGTATGTTCTGTGTCATCCTGTTTTTTAACTTGCCCTTGGTGTGGCCTACACTACTGTACATAATATCATTTGAGGTGACTTCTAATTTTTGATGTCACCTCTAAAACAAGTAGTTTTAATTAATTAAATAATGTAATTCAGAGTTTCAGTACTAACGTGATTATACAAGTCCACTCATGAATTGAGTTACTGAATCACTTAATTGAAAACAAATGAGCTAGGAAATGACATCTTGTACTTTCTTAAATAGGTAAAGAGCGACCTGTCCCATCTATGAAAACATCAAGAGATACCTCACCTTCAAGTTCTCCAGCAGGTCCTTCATCAAAGGTTTGTTAATTTTCTAAAATCCTAGTTTAAAGAATTACAAAGTAAGATGCTTGTTTAGGACAAAAGCTTTCATTATTTATGTTATACCATTGGGCTAGTTGCTGCATTTAAAAACTTAAATTTTAAGTAACCACTACTTGACAACAGCTACCAATGCAAGTGTCTTCGTTACTTTTCTTCTTGCTGAGACCAAATACCTGACACCCAATGTTGAAGAAGGAATGGTTTATTTAGCTCACAGATCGTAGAAATTTCAATCCATAAACAACTGGCTATAAGACAGGTGGCACAGCAGAGGGGAATCACAGGAGAAACAGTTCATGGTGGGCAAAAGGTAGCAAAGATACAGGGTGGACTGCTGGTCTTTTTGTTCTTTATTTCTTATCCAGACTACCTTACGGCTGCTGGCACTCATACCCTTAATCCTTAATGCCTTGGAGCCTAGCATTACACCATGAATCAGTCTCAATGTCACACAAGCTAGATCTAGCACCTCTGAAAAAGCCCCACATATGACTGCATGTGGCTTTGGAGGGACATCTAGACACAAGCTGTAAGAGCAAGTGAGAAGTTTTCTCATAGAAGTGTTTTGCGTAGCTTATGCTACAATAGTATTACTACCGCAGCCCTACTTCATCTTGACCATGACCAGTAAGTATTTCGGTGGGAACATGCGTTAGATTTTTTTGCAGTTATTGGTTGGGGCATAGGCAAGAAACTTAAAGTGTGACTATTTGGCTCTGGATAGTATATGCTTTCCTTTTGTTGATACAGAAATCTTTTGACACGGGCTACGTATAAACTTTCATTCTATAGCACATTGAAGTCTCAGACATGTCCATATTTTACTTGTATTCTCATGTACTTCTTTTTGTTCCTTCATTTTCATTCCTCCTTCTCTTCCACTATGAGGATTGAACCCAGGAGCATTCTACCATGAGGCCATGACCCTAGACTTTTTTTTTTTTATTTTGAAACAGCATGTTGCTAAATTGGCACAGCTGCCTTTGAACAGCCTCCCACACATTTGGGGTGACGTGTGCACCACTGAGTCCAGCATTATTTTTCTTCTGTGATACTTTGACTTATTAGCCAGCATGGATAACAACTAGATCAGAATATTTGGAGGCAGCTGGTTCTTTTCTTCAGAGGGGAAAAATATTTCTTTGTGACAATTTAATATTATTGGGACATTCTCAGACATCTGAGGGATCTAGAATGCCAGGTTGTTCTTTTCTTTTTGTTTTGAGTCAGAGACTAGGCTAGCTGTGAACTTTGTTTTTAAACTGGGGAAGGAACCCAAGAGTGTTCCACTACAGACCTCATTTGCATCCCTTTCTTTTGCTTAGATAAGGTCTTGTTAAGTTGCTAAGGCTGGCCTTAAATTTACAGTCCTCCTGCCTCAGCCTCCTCAATAGGTGAGATGATAGGTGTATGTCATCACACTTTGGATTTTTAACGTTCTGTATGGGAAGGGCTGGAAATGAGCTGTGTAGGCTTCCTCAGTGGCAGGAATAAGGGAAGTTTCATACTTTCTGTTTGCCTTGCAAAGGTTTTACAAATTTAGTGCATAACATCAAGGAGACGACTAGATGCCTGAAGTTTACATAATACCTTCAAGTGCATAAAAGAATAGGGGCTTGAGACTCCTGAGGCATGAGATAGCCTCACGAGCCTTGGGAAGTTCGGGGGGGGGGGGGGGAACTCTGGAATCAAAACCTACATGATTGTGCAGGTAGAATTTCCCAGGTCGCTGCCGTAGTTCAACTAGCTGTGGCCTGTATGTGTGAACCAGGTCTCAGGCCTCAACCTCTGCCCACTGCGAAGTCTTTCCTCGGCAGATGCAGAGATCTCAGAGAACAGCTTCTGCCTGTACTTCTTGCTTAATGTCCCCTGTGGCTGTGGCTGTACATTTTTTTTTTTTTTATGAAGGATAGCCTCACCAAGCCATTCCTTTGTGTGCAGTTCCTCTGAATAACTCAGAATATTTTAAAGAAGTGTATTTGGGGGTGGGATATTTTACTCTCCCTCATCTCCATGTGGATCGATCGCTATGACTGTACTAGTGGCCAGTGTGAGGAAGTTTCACTGCCCTTCCCATCTGTGTACATTACCAAGTTTGGCTAGAGGAATTACTGTTTCTGTTTCTGGGGTTATAAGTTAAGGTAAAGCCAGAGATACAACTTGGCAGCACAGATGCCTGCCTGCAAGTGTAGGGTCCTAAGTTTGATTTCCTGTACAAAAAAAATAAGGTACCAATTGTACTCTAGTCATCTTCATGAAATTCTGTTTAATGAAAATGCTTCTTTTGTTTGCTTCTTTTGTTTGTTTCAATGACATGCTCCACAAAACAGGGATTTTTACTCGATTGTCTTCCAGGAGACAGAGGTATATTTGGAATTAGTGATACGAGGTGAGAAGGGCATAGGTGATGAAAATTATTCCACGGAAACAATGGAATTAGGGACTTCATGTAAGGACCTTAAGAGTAGAGTTTTTCTGATTCATTAACTGTCACATCTGGAATTTTCTGTTGTGTTAATTAAGAATGGACCTTAAGGAAATTTTGTTACTTGTTTCATTGAACATAATTGAAGTTAGCAAGTTGAAATCAGTGTCTTTCATGTTCTGTATACAGTTAGTATGAGCTGTCAGTCTCTGCTTTATGCTTTAAATGAATTCCTGAGGTTTTGTGGAAATGAAATTGGGTCACAGCTAGTATATGTGTCCAAGAGAATTACTGCTTAAACAGTTCTTCTGTTGAGCATTTTTGAAGGGGTGGGAGGCAGAAAGGTACTGATTTGTACCATCAGTTTGAAGGCTTTAGTGGTTTGGATTGTGCATAGGGTGTGCTGGTTGGTGTATCTGAAGTGTAAACAACCTTGAGAGATGTAACAGAAATGCTCTTGCTTTTTGCCAGGCATTAGATAAACCCAGCAGGCTGACTGAAAAGGAGCTTGCTGAGGCTGCAAGCAAGTGGGCTGCGGAAAAGCTCGAGAAGTCTGAGGAGACTAATGTGCCTGGGATTTCTGAGTTCCAGGTATAGTATCACGGGTCCTGTATATTTGACACTGCCAGCTTTCGTGTGGATGTTAACTTACAGGTGGAAATTTCAGTACCTCAAAATACTTTTGAAAGAAGGCATATGTGCTTACGGTTTCGTGAATTATTAAAATTTACCACTCAGGGGCTGGTGATTTAGCTCAGCGGCACAAGCACCTGCCTTGCAAGCAGGTGGTTGTGAGTTCAATCCCTGGTACTGATAAAAATGAAGAAGACAAAAAAAAAAAATTGCCACAGAGTAATATTCTTGATTTGGGGGCTCATGGAAAACTGTTTATGAATTGTATTAAAATATTCAAAAGTGAATTGAAAACCCTCTGTATAATCTATAATATCTTAAAGTCAAATAGGGAAATTTCAAGAGCTGAGTTTTTAGATACAGAATTTAATGTTAAAAGAATTAGTTTTGATATGATAGGCACAGATAAGCTTCACATTTTGATGTGACAGAGAATATTTCAAAGAGAATTCTGGCTTTTTGATAGACTTTGGGAAAGTTCTATGGAAAGTTTTTTGAATGAAAAAAATAAATTTGCCGGGCTGGGGATTTAGCTCAGCGGCATAAGCACCTGCCTTGCAAGCAAGCGGTTGTGAGTTCAATCCCCAGTACCGATTAAAAAAAAAAAAAAAAAAAAAAAAATTGAAATGTGTTTACCTTCATCTTCATATAAAAAGATCCTTTCCAGCGTAACTTATTACACTGCACATAAAAAATAGAATCCCTGTGAAAACGGACTCAGAACCTTGGAAAAGAAAAAATGTCGATTTGTCATTTAGACAGCAATTGATCTCAAATAGCTCAGTGTTTCTTTGTCATTTTAGCTCCAGTAATTGATTTTTTGCATATTCTTTCAGGAAATGTATGGAAAGTATCAAAATCCATCTTTGGTCAATCCTTTTCTATCACTTTAAAAAACATGAATAGTACAGTAATATAATTAGTGAGGTAATTTAAAATAAAAGTATTTTTACTGTTTTAAGTTAGAATAAAAGAATTTGAATAGTGTTTTTCAGTTTTTTTGTTTTTTGTGGAAGTGCTGGGGATGGAACCCCCAGGGCCTTGAACTTGTTAGGCAAGTGGTCTACCACCGAGCCACACTCCCGGCCCTAGGATAGTTGTTTTTATATTAGTAAAAAACCAAATAGAGTAGATATGTGTGCTTTAAAATTGCTGTTTGGGGCTCAGATTCATTTCTTGTTTGTTTATTAATAAAATGGATTTAAACAAGCCCAATTAAGGCTTAACTTCCAAATATTAATAGCACATTCATCTTTTCTATGTTCACATCATTTTTTTTTTCAGAATTTCTTATAAAACTTTACTGTGTTTGTTTCTCAGATTTTAAGTGTTAATATTTTCTCATTGTTTGAGTAGATTTTGAGCCTGAATAGTCAATGACATTGGGAAACTTTTTCTTAAAGTTTGTTTTCTTTAAAATTTGTCCAGAATTTGCTTGTTTAGGCATTAATGTGAAATAAGGACACATACTGTGTATTGTGTAGAGTCACTTTTATAAGTTGCAAGAAACTGAATGCTTGGATTTCTTGCTTATTTTTTGTTGCTGTCATCATTATAGTTTTAAGCAGTTTCCATGAGAGACCCTGGAATTGTTAAAGTACAGTGCAAGTAAAGATGATTTGGGTCAATATTTGATCTTACTGTAGTTAGTTCATTTCTCTGTTATTTTGATCTTGTTAACTCTAACAGAACATTTCTGAAAGGTTTTGACAGCCTAGTAAATTCTGTAGAGTATTAATAGTGTTAGAGGGAGAAAAAGATTGTATAAGCCAGTATGTTTGAGAAATGCTGTTTGTAAAAGAGGTAAATTAGTGTATTTAAAAGAAGGTTGGTTTTGATATGTCAGCATTATACAGAGGTTTTAGTATGTTAATACACTCATTTGTTGGCTTTGAAAGGCTGAATCATGGAGTTTGCATATTTACAAACTTTTAAGTATAGATTTTTTAAAAAAGACAGCTTATATTGTGGAATAGTGTTTTTAGGCACACATTTTCAGAGAGCAATAGTGTGCTGGCTTTGTATTCATTCTACATCTGCTTGGGTCAAACTGTCAAGGAGAGTTCAGTCACGTTTTATATAAATACAATTTACCAACCCTAAATTGCTAGGATGGCTTTGTACTCTCTAACTGAAAGGCAAATTATTTGCAACCCAGTTGAACAGATTTGTTAGCTTTTTATCAACTACTTCTTTTTGACTTAGAAAAACTTGATTACTCTAATATGCTCTCGGAGCTCTCCAGTTTACATCTTTTATAGGCAGGATTGTTTTCCATACTTACGTGCTGCTTTACCATGATACTGGAAACTGAACAGTTTATAAAGAACATAGTTACTTCTTATGGTTCTGGTTGCTAAAATATATTGAGGTTAAAATTTATTTTCTTTAATGATGCTCATGCCTTTGATTTAAATCTGTTAAATTTTTTAGGTTTCTTTTTTTTTTTTTTTTTTTTTTGTACCAGAAATCAAACTCCAGACCTTGTGCTTGCTAGAGAGAGAGGTGCTTGTACCTCTGAGCAATGTCTCTGAGCATATCCCTGGCCCAAATCCCTAAAATTTTGAACTTCAGACTTGTGAAGAGTAGTTTTTTAGTAGCTAATATGTATGTATCAAAAATGCAAATAGTGTTTGTGAGAGACATATCTGGAGGAGTGAATTATTAAAGTGATGAGGGGGCTTGTGTGCAAAAGCATGAGTGATCTGGAATATATGCTTAAAGATTAGGGAAGCATTATAGGTTTGGCCTTTGTCCTTCCTCCTGCCTAATAATTTGCATAGATCATCCTAATAAATGTCATGAAGAAGACCTCTTTGTTCCTTGACAACCAGGCTGCTTTCCTTCCTGTATTTCCCTGCAAGAAAAGTCAAGAGAGTTCTCAGTTCAGCATTGCTCTTTTGAGACTCCTACACTCTGGGTGCTCTTGGAACAGTCCCTGTGGCCCTCTTGATGTTTGAATGATGTGTCAGCTCCAAGCAATCTTTTCATCCTCTATACTGCCACGGTCGCACATGGACAAGTGAAGCCCTTTGTGAGGTGGAAATGGCAAGGTAACCTGCTGCTGCAGGTCAGCGTGGAGGACCAGTCTTCCAAAGCCTGGAAAAGGAACAAGGTCCAAATTTGTGTAACATAAGAGGACATAGACAGCAGCAGAACAACCTGACACATTTACGGCAAGATCAAATGTTAGGTTATTAGCCCAGAGGTCTTCTAACAGTCCCATTGCCAATGAGGACGGGCTGTGTGCTTGTTTTTCTTTTTGATCCTTCATTTTTTTCTTCTGCTTCATACCATATGGGTCAAACTTTATCCAAAAAGGAAAAACAATTTAAGCAGGCTTTATAGTGTCTCTTCAAGACACCTGGATGTAAGGTTTCTTAGCTCCAACTATTAAACTCCTAATAGTTATTCACCTACATTTTCCTTGGTTTCTGCTGCAAAATAGCTTGAGGAATTGTGGGTTAAAACTTTTGATGGTCATTAGGTCCCATGAAAGTTGCATTCCTTGGTACTTAGCAACTTAGCAGGGTCCACATTGTCTCTTCAAATATAGGAATCTTCACTTAAAAAGCCACTTGTCACCCCCTCAGCTCCCCATAGAGAATCCTCTTTCAATGTCCTTCTCTTCCTCCAGCAAAACTCCTGGCCTGAGAATTTGAGTCCTCCATGGAGAAATACTTGAAAGAAGCTGGCATGAAAGATGGAGAAATGCATCCTTATCTTGTTCTTAGAAGAGGTCAAGGACCTCTTTGTGATAGCCTCCCTTATGCAGTGCTTAAATTATTTAGAAAAAGAATACCAACATAGGTCTGCAAGCCCATTTACAAAAGTCATTGTAGAGTCATCAGGACATGGTTGTGAGATGGCACCGTGGGACTGGAGGGCCCTAATGAAAATAGTGCTGACTGCTGCTTAGATCAGTGTATGGCTTGCAGAATATCGGGAAGCCACTACTGGTCAGTCCCCAGATCATGTGAACACAAATTCCTGTGGGAATGGACATACTTATGGGAGAAGATCCCCGTGCCACTCCAAAGGTATAGTCCTCGATGACTGGCCACTTTTATTCAAGCTTCTTGTGTTGCCCTTAAGGCATAGACACAAATCCCAGAAACCAAGGCCCCTCAAGTTTCCTTTGCCACCATTAGATAGGACCCTAAAAAAGCTTACATAGATTTCATAAATTGTTTACAAAACTCAATTTTATGATAGGTGGAAAGCTGTTTTAGCACTTCAGTTAGCACATGCAAGTACTAACACTGATTGTCATAGAGTTTTAGCACCCCTTAAAGGAAAAACTGAAGTATTGCTATAACAATTAAAGCTTACCAAATGTAGAAACTGTTAGGTCTGAGAAAGGGGAGGAAGCGGGGGAAGGAGGACTGGAAGGAAGGAGTGGAGTGGAGTGGATGGCCGTGGCTGCAAAGATAAGAAATATAAAATATAAGTAACCTTTATTTCGGGAATGTCTCCACCCCGGGGCCGACGGTCTCTCTCTGGAACACACACACTCTAACATGTGGAGTGAGGCCCATAAGTAGCCTCTGTCTGGGGTGGACCCCAAGGGGCATTAGGGATGCACAGGTAGCCCATTGGCACACATTTGGCGCCAGAGGCAGGTTCTTAGGGATGGGGATATAGGGTTACAGGTAAATCTCTAAGGGGCGGGGGAGGCAGGAGTTCCTTAACTTGGCTGAGGCTTCTCCTGGTTAAAGTGTCTGGTCTGGGCCAGCAACTCTTTCATATCCCGTCTTATGATTATTAGGAAAAGGGGCAAAGATTTCTCTCTGTAACTACTTCCTGCTGGCTGAGGGCGCTGTATTGGGGATTAGGGGAGTCGATGGGATGAAGGTTGATGCCCAGGTAGTCACTGATGTTAGGTGTTTTAGCCAGGACAACTTCACTGGTGAATGCACGTATGTTAGACTGGAAAAAAACAAAGAAACAAGATGTTATGAGGAGACATGGCACTGTCATATTTATGGACCCAAGTGAGGTAGAGGGAAAGGTGTCAAAATTCATAAAGCCAAAGTGATTGCTGCCGTTCTGCAGCCTCCAAAGTGTTATAATCATGGCAAAGAGGGACATCTTCAGAAGGATTGCAAAAGCTATAACTAAAGAAGGCAAACCTAAAGGAAAATATCATAAATGTAACAAAGGGTACCACTGGGCCAATCAGTGCTGCTCTAAATTTGATAAAGAAGGAAGCCAGGTTTTAGAAAAACCCAGTAAGTTATCATGGAATGAATGTTCACACTCAGCATAGGAACTGACCCCAAATCTCAACTTGGCCCTTGAGGAGGATGAAATTTTGGATGAGGCTGGCCAAGTGAAGATGATAGCCAGTGACGTCTGGAGACTTTTCCCCCCCATGACGGGCCGTTCTCTTATTTGGAAGATACAGTTACAGTAAGAGATTCCAAGTCATTCCAGTCTGATAGACTTAGTCTGCTCAGGGCAAATTCAGTTTACGAGAAAAAGCCTAGGTATCACATCCTTCTGGAAGGATTATAAAGTCTGTAGGTTGTCTTGTTTCCCTTTTGTCTTTGGATCTCTTGACAGATCCTGAGGAAGTCTTGGATTCCACAGTAAGGAAGTGTTTTTGGCTACTAAATTATCCCCTTGTGCTGTACTCCAACTCAGCTGTAAAGATGTCAGTGGTGCACCTCGCAATCCTACCAGACAAGGCATAGTGGGATGGGCCAGTGGACTCCTCAAAATTAACTTACTAAATGGGAGGAAATATGGTAGACTTCCCCTGCAGGGACAGTTATATAAAAAGCATTCTTTTAAATTTTTAAAATGTCGACTTTGATGAGTTCAAAGCAGTAGAAACATTTTATTCTCACAAAGGAAGGACTGAAACCATTGGTTTTTTATCAACAGCCTGTATCAGGTCCCCAGTGGTTGGACTCAGTGGATTGCTCACTTGGGGGAGGGGGTATGCATCTGTTTTTTCACCCACAGGTGCAGTCTGGGCCCCTGAAAAGTCTGTGCGTCCCTACTGTGTGGAACCAGGCAGGAAGCAGTCCTCCCCTGGAGCTCGAGAAGCTGGCAGTACAGTCTCTCCCAGGAATGAGCAGCACTAAGAAAAAGATGGATCCCCGACCCTCTACGACACATTCTTCAGGACCTACCTGGGGAGACATTAAGAAGCTTACTTACCACGCTGAACAAACTCTCAAATTCACAGGAGCCCCCTTCAGTCCTGAAAACTTGTTTCTTCCAATGATAGAGCAGATCACATCCAATTCCAAGGCTACAAAGGTAAAAAGGTCCCTTATTCTTTTGAGCTTGCTGGTACATTTACTTCAAGTAAGTGGCATGGTCTACTAAGCCTATGTGCTTTTTCCACTTGCTTTGAATATAGTCACATGGAGAGACACAGACACCCTCCCCGCCCCATGGTACCTGTTATACAGGTGGTACTTGCTGCCACCTTCTGGCCCGTATAAGACTGCAGCCATTCCTGTTACTCTGACGGTGATACCAGTTACCTCATAAGTGATAACTTTTTGGCAGAAGAATTTCCCTTACCTGTGGCCATCAACATCACTGATAGTAGTAGCTATTGCATTTTCTTCCTGCCCCAGCGATATATGTACTGTATTTTCACAGGATGTAATCAGATGGAGGAACCCTGCCATCAAGATTTATTAACACTGCTGGTGTAGGAGGAACTCTGGGAGACACTGAAGTATTCCCGTCTGCTCCCACTCCGGGGTGCCCACTGGAGGTGGCCTAGAATTGGGAGGACCCCGTGTAAACAAACCACCAATCTTGCTATTACCCCAGTCCTACAGTTTGACTCTAGAAAATTGGGAACTTCACAATTTCGGAGTGCTGATGTCTAACTCTGCCTGGGTCTCTGCTAACCTTTAATTATAGCAGTGCCTCACCTTATGGAATCCTGGGCTCACTGGATCTTTACTTTTTGCCTCTCCTTGGGCACTTATCTTTCTCCTCTCAGAGAATCGGCATGTAGCTATCTTGTTTTTCCTGAAAATTGTTATATTTAGCAATTGTCAGCCCATAAGTAAGCTCTTCACATGTGTTATCAATGACTCCTCTGATCATATAAGATTTGTACTCCCGGGGGCTGGGGGTTTTGCTCAGCGGCATAAGCGCCTGCCTTAAAAGCCTTAAAAGTCATGAGTTCGATCTCCGGTACCGATTAAAAGGAAAAAGACAAAAAAAAAAAAAAAAAATTTGTACCCCTCACCCATATATTTTAGTCCTTACTAAAGAAGAATCTACATTTGCAGAAGACAGTGCTTTCAGCCACTATCATCGACCTCTTAAGGCCCTTAATGTTACCTTACTAGTGTGGCTCATTCTGTGTGTCACTGGCTCTAATATTTCTCATATTGTGGTTTAATATTGCTCACATGGTGGTATTCATACAATGAGCTGAAGCTTGACTCCCCACCAGTCTCACGAAAGAATGGACTGGAAGCTCTGCCCTTGAACAAGTCATCTCAGCACTTGAGCATAACAGACAAAAATGTTTTCTTGTTATTCTGACTCTGGCTACTATTGCAGTCATAGCACTAGCAGCTACAGTGGCGACCACAGCAGTCACCTTGACCCATTCCACACAAACTGTCCAAACCAGGAACAGCTACTTTCAAAACATGACTTCTGAATTGCTGACACTGAACAGCACTGGCCAAGAAATCTTACGACACCCTGATGCTTTTGAGGCTGCTGTTGGATGGCTCACAGCACCAGCAGGCTCTCTGGATGTGCACTCGCCTTAGGTGTGATGCAGGATATTTATCTATGTACATTACACTCATGCCTTTAAGAGCTCTGACTCCTGGAATGAGACCCAAGGCAACACACAGATCTTCGTGGGGTGATTTCCTATCTCCATAGTCGACTGAAGGGCCAGCTTCACAGTCTTCAAATGGAAGCTCACAATATCACTTTGGACTGTCTTAATGATGTTGTCTGTGACTCAGAACCCCCCAAAACTGGCTGTCTGGCCTCAACCTCCAAACAGTGGTACCTTGGTTCACTAACTTCTTTCTATGACTTTCCTCCCAGAGTTCCATTGCATCCAGGATCATGGAACAAATTCTGAGTTCTTGAACTGAGGTACCACTATATCTGCATACTTATTGCTGCAGAATAATATTTTTGTAGTGTTTCTTACAGTCCTTGAAGCTGTCTGTGTGCTGTTGCAGTGAATGCATTGTGCTGACACCATGATGACTTTCCTGTAGCTCAGTACCTTTCCACACTGCATTCCTCTTCTCTGCTCCAGTCCCTAGTGCTTAACATAAAAAAGGGGGCTAAATATGTCACTTGGTTGGAGGAAAGAGTGATTATAATCATGAAGGGGCCTACGGGAAAAGCTTGCGTACTCTGCAGTGTATGATTAAGGGTCAGAGAAGCATAATGGATTCCATCTTTGTCCTTCCAAATGCCTGATAAGTTGCTTAGATTAACTTAAGAAATAATTCACAGCAGACTTTCTTATTCCTTGATTATCAGGCTGCTTTTCTTCCTGTTTTTCACTGGAACAAAAGTCAGAAAGTTCTAGGTTTAGCACTGCTCGCTTGCAAATGCCCTTGTGTTGGGTCCTCTCAGTGTTCAGAGCAAGTGTCTGCAAGAAAACTTTTTATTCTCTGTACTGTCACCTTCGCACATGGTAACAGGTGTTGAAGCATTCACAGTGTGTCCCCAGCATCATCCTCTCTTTCATGTTTTCTTATTGGGAATCCTGCTTTAATCATTTTCCCACAGTTAGGGCTACCCAGAGACATCTGTGGCATGGATGTATATATTTCTGTCCTTAACCACCCTTCTGTCTTTGGTGACACAGTTGATGGTACATTAATAGGGAATGACCTCTTGGCTATGAAATTATTTCAGTATTCAATTATCTCTCAAGTCTTCGTGTTTGTATTTGTGCCTTTTTGAGACAAGCTCTATTGTCTATGTTGTCCTGGAACTCACTGTGTAGCCCAGGCTGGCCTATAGCATGTGTTCCTGCTGTCTCAGCCTCCCGACTATAGGCCTGTGCCCTCATCCCCTGGAAAACTACTAGTGGTTATTCTGTTTTGTGGGAATGTTTTCTCTAATGATTTCAAGAATTTCTTAAGTCACAGAAGCAAGGCAATTTAACTTCTAAAATGAATTCTTTTCCTGTGTTCCTTTTATTCTATGTGTGCACACTTTCACTTGCACTTAGAGTTTGTCTCCCATGTGTTCCAGATTAAGAGTGCTAAGAAATAGTTTCGTGGTAAAAGGTTCTCACTTTGTTACTTGTTTTTTTTTTGTACTGGGAATTAAACTCAGGACCTTGTACTTGCCAAGTAGGTGCTTGTGTCATTGAGTTATGTTCCCAGCCCTCATTGTGTCTAAATACAGACTGATGTATAATCGTATAATTTTGGAGTGCAATAAGTCTAGTGGTTGTATTTTACCTAAACTTTTAAAAGTAGTAGTCATTCATTGCTTTTTAAATCCTCTTCATATGTGATCATTGTACATAAAGGTATTAAATGTTTTCTTAAAACAGGTTAAACCTAATACTTTCTTAACGTACCATCTGAAATATTTTGTGTCCTTTAAGAAAGTGAGTAAAGATTTGGAACATTTTTTCAAGGTGGGACCTACAACACAGTTATTCATTGAGAATCCAGAGGAGACAGATACCAATGCAACCGACAGCACGGAATTATTTGAAGACAGTCAGCTCAGCAGTCGCTCGAAAGCAATAGCATTGAAAACCAAAGAGATTGAACAGGTGAGAATGCGGTCTGCTTAAGGTAGATAATCTTCAGCTCATACCACTTTGCACATTAAGTACTTACTAAGTTTCTGTGCTTCTTATGTCTTTTTCTACCTCTGACTCTGGGAGATTCCTTTCAATAATTTAAAAATTACTGACTTTAGTAATTTTGGCCTGTCTGGTAACCATGTCTTTGTTATTTTTAAATAATGAACAATCATGTTTTGAGGGAGAAAATAATTTTTTAAAGAGAACATTAATCAAAAAAAAAAAAAAAAAACATTAATCTAGTTGGTATGAAGCATTTAAAAGCTTCCAAACTAATAAGAGTTGGAATGGAAGATTATTCATCAAAATGGTGGCAGATGTTATTTTTGCCTATTATTATCATAGATACTTGCTTTGGTTAATACTTCTAAGCATTTTTCAAGAATTAAAGGAATAAAAGGGTTATAATCTACATCTTTTAGTTGGTGTCATTCTATAAAACAAGCTTTTGTTTTTATTGTGAAACTATTAACCATTAGAGCATTATCATTTTATGAGGATTTGATAAGGTAAGTAAAATGTGAAAGAACTTTCAAATATGTTTTGTGTAGGTATTTGTTTTTGATATTAATCTTTTTAATACCTTTAATAAATTGTATGACATTGTTATGTAACCTCAAAACAATTTGCAGTTAACAGAAATACACTTATTTTCTCAGGGCATTGTCCCATTTCCACTTGTATTAAAATCTCCTTCCCTTGATTGGAATTTGAGATTCTCAAATTCTACATGTGATTGTTTGGGATTGTTTGGCTGGTTGTGTTGCTATCACACCAGTGACAGAAGATAAAAACCAGAATAGGAAACTTGTCTTGCAAGCCACTAGCTTTTCAGACACTATGAGCGTTTAACAAAAGTGTCTATTCATTCTTTGCATTTTTCCCTATACTTGAAATATTTCAGAATTCAATTTAATAACTCAAAAGTGTTATAAATGAGACCATAAAATCAATTGCTTTAGTGATATAGAAAGAAATACTATTGTACCATCTAAGATGTCTTTTCTCCTTGTTTCATTAAATCAGTGTGTTCAGATATATTATAAAAATAAAGTACAATATCCAGTTTTTTGACATTGTCTATACACTAGGTCTGTTGTTCAATGGTTGAGTTCCAAGAAAGCCATTAACTTGAAACAGTGTTACAATAGAAATACACTGAACCTCCATGTCAAAATTCATTTTAGTGCTAAATGTCTAGAAATGCAGCATTTCCTTCAGGAACTCACTTTTTGAGAGAAAGAGAGAGATAGACACACAGACAGACAGTGACAGACTTGGCTATGCAGTTTGTCTGGCCTCAAACTTGAAACAATCCTCCGACCTCAACCTCCCAAGTGCTGGGATTACAGTCTGGTACCACCATGCTTGGCCCTTGAGGAATTTATGCTTGGGTTTTCTTGTATAGGAAATATTTAACTAAAATTGTTCTTTTTTGCGGTGATACTTTCCCAGAGATAAATTTCAGAATGGTTTCATCCTTTGTGGTACTTGTACCATTTTAAGTATGGTTCTTGTAAAGTTTATTATTTGGAGAGATTGGAGACGATTTCTACATTACGTACATTAGATAAGTTCTACCTATGTATTCTTACTGTGATATAACTAACATATAATAAAATGTATTATGTCAGTTGGATGAGTTTTGACAGTTGCAACAGAATGTGTTACTCAAATATATGTATGAAAATCTTTTCACTCGATTTCACTAAGTATAATATAAATAAATATAGGACTTACAATTACGTTCATGTCTTTCTAAGAATGTGTTCTGCTTTGCTGTAATTTTGTCTTCCAGTAAACTGCATTCTAGGTCATAACATAATAAAATTACAAAATTTCAAAAGCATAAGAGATGATGCTGTGAGGAAATAGTTTATTCTTATCCCCAAATTTACTCTTCTGCCATATAGGTTGACATGTTATACATACAGTGTACATACTTGTATATGTACACGTACAGACAGACGTATGTATGTGAGCTGGTTTTCGTGGCACACACGTGCAATCCCAGTACTTGGGAGGCAGAGGCAGGAGGAATATCATGATTTTGAGGCCAACCTGAGCTATACAGTGAGTTCAAGACCACCCTGGACTACACAGTGAAATCCTCAGAATACTAAGAGAAAGACAGACAGACATACGTATCTGGACCAGAGTTGATCCTGAATAACTGAAATTAGACTCGATGTGTAGGTATGTCTCCTTCCTTTACATATGAGTGGAGACTAGACTGTGTCCCCTGTTCATACTCTTAGAGTGATCCGGCTTGCAGATCAATCCGTGGGGTATTCCTGGAGGCGGAATAGGGATTAAATAAAAGACATAGGGGAGACAAAGAGAGATGGAAGCAAGTCGAGATAATCCGATCAAGCCTCCGTTTATTCAGGAAGTGATCACATCTTTTATAGGCCAAGGGCGGGAGGTGGGACAGGAAGAGGCTAAGGGGATGAATACAACAGGGTCACTGTCATATCTGGGTACATGACGTAAGCAGGAGAGGATTATGGTTAATGTAGGCAGACGCAGTGCCTATAGGAGAGAGAGGGAGGCAGCAATGGACTGTTGCTCGGCTCCCTACATTACAGGTTACATATAAGTCCTTTATTAATAGAAACTTACCTTCTTGTGAACCATATTCTAAAATACAGTTGCTCTGATTCGTCCATAAAGATATGTTTATTTTTTTTTTATAAGCATAGATTACATTTAGAATGAGCTGTTCTAGGAGACTTTGATCCAGTACTATGGATGTTACATGCCTGTGTGTGTGCTTTGTAAAGCACTGTGCAGGTTTTCAGTACTGCTTAGCAAGTCTTTGGAGTTCCTGTCCAGTAGAATCCAGAGTTCATGGATTCTGAGTTTGTGTTTTGAAGCATCTGCCATGATTCTTTTGCTGAGTAAGACTTGAAATAATGCAAGTACAGAGTCTGTAAAGCATATTAATTTCTGTCTTGTACTATTTATTTTTCTTCAAAATTAGGAAATGAATCTAATTAATAAAATTTAAACGATTCTAGGGCTATGCCTGAATTCATGTTGCTCAGGCTGGTCTTGACTTGCTGGGTCCAAGCTTCCTTATAATTGGGAAGGTAAATGTACACTGTGCATGGTGTACAATGCATTGTGTGGCATTCTTCAGAAAAAACAAAAAATAAGAAAGTAAAAAATGTATCTCTGCTGCCACTGGTAGACAGTGTCGGCCGACAGAGACCAGATACATGTGCATTAATCCCAGTAAGCTTGCACCCCGATTTCCACTGAAGTTCAGGCTGGAACCAGTCCACCTAGCCCACTGCTGTTCCTGTGTCCATTGTGGGCTTGAGCTTCAGATGGAGCTGGCAGCCATTGAGAGGATTGAGCTCAGTTGACCTCTCTCCAAGATGTCCCTGGCCAACCCCCTGTGTTGTGGGAGATCCTAACGGGACCCTCATCAGCCAGTGCAGCCCACTGCCTCCCCTGTTCTCCTCCACTGGTGCCTCACCCCACAGAATCCTGTGGCATCATTAGCAGTCTGTGCTGGTCTGTAGGTTCGAGCCACCCGTCCCTTGCAGGGACCAGGAAGAAGGCCCCACCTGCCCCCTTGTTTTTTCCTTGAAATCTTTGTCTTCCCTCTCCCTGTGGGCTTCAGTTCTTGCTTCAGATCCTTCCTGAGCCCCAGGGATCTACTTCCCCTCCCTGTTCTCTTTTTCCTATTGCTGTATTCCAGTGTCTGAACACCAAATCTTTCCAATCTGCTCACCACCCCTGCTTCCTCCCGGAATCCCTCATGTGACAGTCTTCAGGTTACAGAAAATTATTGTTGTAGAGAGAAAAGTTCATGTCTCTCCACGTTTAGAGGACAATAACTACTAAAAAAAAAAATACTTCAGAATCATTTAAGAAACCTCTTTGGCTCCCTTTATAACACATTTCTACTAAAATACTATTTTATGAAAATGTTTATATTTCTTATGTATAGAAAAAGATGATTGTTTTTTGTTTATCTTACAATTTATAGTTAAATGTAGATAAGAAAATTTTAGAGAGGATGCTGTCCATTTTTGAACATAAAGAATATAAAGAAAACCTTCAGACACTTGATGAAGAGGTTACAAGCATTGTCTTTTTTTGTTTTTTTCCTTTGAGACAGAGTCTTGCTATGCAGTTCAAGCAGATCTTGAACTCACTTTGTAGCCTAGACTGACATCAAACTCATAATGATCCTCCTGCCTCAGCCTCCTGAGTGCTCTGAGTACAAGTGTGCATCACCACACTGGACAGCATTTTATCTATTACAGTCACCTTTGTTACTAGCCTTATATGTTAAAAAGTTTTCTTTCTTAGCTCTTTCCTTTTTGTATATACTAGAGTTTTAACAACAAAAATTTTAGGTATTTTGAATTTTTTAGCTCTTTGTATTAAGATTTCTGATATAGAATATATTTATAAAAACCCTCAAATGCAACACTGTTATGCATTAGTGAGGGATTGGTGTTTAAGTTAATGTGTGGTGTACATTTCCTTCTGTGAATAAAATATTACATGTAATGAGTATTTGAGCTTTGGCCCTCTACTCCTGCAGTTTCTAGTTTCTGCTGTTAGCCATAGCCATCATAACCTGATGATTCCCAGTATTCTCATTAGCTCTTACTCTCTTTCAACACATTTAGGGTATTTTTGTTTTACTTTAAAGAGTTTAGAAGGATTAGTCAACTGTACAGTTGTCTAGAAAACGTTAAGTTGTCATAAATGTAAAAGAGAATCGGGCTTTAGTCTGTGATACATAAAATGAAGTTCCTTTCAAATTAGACCAGCTATATCTCTTGTTGCAAGTACATTTTCTAGGCATTTTGTATTAATGTTTTGTTTGTTTGTTTGTTTTTTCTGAGACAGGGTCTCACTGTGTATTTCAGGTT